GGGGACGTCCCCGGAACAAACCGGGAACTAGCACAACAGGGAAGGGGAAAAGGACGGGGAAAATGGAAGAAAAATGTCCCTACCAACTAACTCCACACCCATTAAAACCTCACCACTATTCCACTACTTGGCCCTATCTGATCCTACACCAGGCCGACAGCCTGGGAGGATGGGACACTATCGTTCAACACACCTTGTAACTCTTCTGCAGTAAAATCTCGTACACCAAAGTACTTCTCTGCAGCTGACACCACAACATCTATTTTCTGTGATTTACGTTCCATTTCTACTGTACTGAACATCCTTTTATGGTCCAGAGGATAACGTCATGTTTTCATGTTCCTAGAACGTTCTTAGAACATCAGTGGGATAACTTCTCGCCGAAACCCTAAAAGAAACCTTAAGGGAACGTTGGCTAATGTCCTTAGGATGTACCCTGTTTGCTGGGGGGTCATCTACGGTCTCCGCCCTTTCAGCAACCAATGGTGTGACAAATCAATCCATCAATCCAATAATCAAATTCTATTTATATATCATTCTTACATCGACAATAACCCAGCCTAGATCCCAAAGACCAAGCAGCAGCACAATGGCAAGGAAAAACTCCCTAGACTGAAAAAAATCTGGAGAGAAACCAGATTCAGAGGTTCCTCTGATACTGGATATCATGATGTACTGAACAGTTTGTCCCATCGTTCCTCTCTGTCTATCAGTAGGGGGGTTGAAGACAGATGTGTGCTAGAGAGAGCATCGGGGGCTGTTTTTTTCCTGACCATGTGACCTGACTGGGGAAAAATTGTTAGGGAGCAAATATTTAAAAGCAGGAGATTTTCCTGCTCGGGTTATGTGGTTGCCGGTGGTACTAGAGACAGAATTGTGCTCAGTCTACATAATCAGGGTCCAACCCATGTTTTACCACTGTATGAGTAGGTTGTGGCCTGTCCGCCTTCCTGTATTCCCTACCAGCATATAAGGCTTACATATACTTGTTCATACCATCTCTCTACTTCACTGATAGGACCCTGTGAATAATTGAGAATGTGTCAGTCTACACAGGCGGAGTGGGGCAACTTACAGCCTACTTGCCCTTCCCCTTCTGGTAGGGGTGGTGAGAGGAGATATTATGGGCTTCACTGTGTGCGTGTGTGTCCGGATACTGAAGTTTGGTTATTATGGATTGGTTATGGACTGGTGATGCTGTTTGTGTGTTTTGGTGATGATGTGTGTGAGGAAGAGTGAGAGAGACAGAGTGGGAGAGAGAGAGTGAGAGAGAGGGGGGCGAGTGAGAGAGAGAGAGGGAGAGGGACAGCAGATGTCATCCATTACCGTTCCTTCTGTATTAAGTGTGGTCACTGTGCCCCCCATTGCGTGACTGCACACACACCATCACTGAAACAACACAAATCAGGGGCATGGGTCATAACACAATACTTACAGTGGGGAGAACAAGTATTTGATACACTGCCGATTTTGCAGGTTTTCCTACTTACAAAGCATGTAGAGGTCTGTAATTTTTATCATAGGTACACTTCAACTGTGAGAGACGGAATCTAAAACAAAAATCCAGAAAATCACATTGTATGATTTTTAAGTAATTAATTTGCATTTTATTGCATGACATAAGTATTTGATCACCTACCAACCAGTAAGAATTCCGGCTCTCACAGACCTGTTAGTTTTTCTTTAAGAAGCCCTCCTGTTCTCCACTCATTACCTGTATTAACTGCACCTGTTTGAACTCGTTAGCTGTATAAAAGACACCTGTCCACACACTCAATCAAACAGACTCCAACCTCTCCACAATGGCCAAGACCAGAGAGCTGTGTAAGGACATCAGGGATAAAATTGTACTGAAGAGAGCTGGGACCACAGTCTCAAAGAAAACCATTAGTAACACACTACGCCGTCATGGATTAAAATCCTGCAGCGCACGCAAGGTCCCCCTGCTCAAGCCAGCGCATATCCAGGCCCGTCTGAAGTTTGCCAATGACCATCTGGATGATCCAGAGGAGGAATGGGAGAAGGTCATGTGGTCTGATGAGACAAAAATAGAGCTTTTTGGTCTAAACTCCACTCGCCGTGTTTGGAGGAAGAAGAAGGATGAGTACAACCCCAAGAACACCATCCCAACCATGTAGCATGGAAGTGGAAACATCATTCTTTGGGGATGCTTTTCTGCAAAGGGGACAGGACGACTGCACCGTATTGAGGGGAGGATGGATGGGGCCATGTATCGCGAGATCTTGGCCAACAACCTCCTTCCCTCAGTAAGAGCATTGAAGATGGGTCGTGGCTGGGTCTTCCAGCATGACAACGACCCGAAACACACAGCCAGGGCAACTAAGGAGTGGCTCCGTAAGAAGCATCTCAAGGTCCTGGAGTGGCCTAGCCAGTCTCCAGACCTGAACCCAATAGAAAATCTTTGGAGGGAGCTGAAAGACCGTATTGCCCAGCGACAGCCCCGAAACCTGAAGGATCTGGAGAAGGTCTGTATGGAGGAGTGGGCCAAAATCCCTGCTGCAGTGTGTGCAACCTGGTCAAGACCTACAGGAAACGTATGATCTCTGTAATTGCAAACAAAGGTTTCTGTACCAAATATTAAGTTCTGCTTTTCTGATGTATCAAATACTTATGTCATGCAATAAAATGCAAATTAATTACTTAAAAATCATACAATGTGATTTTCTGGATTTTTGATGATAAAAATGACAGACCTCTACATGCTTTGTAAGTAGGAAAACCTGCAAAATCGGCAGTGTATCAAATACTTGTTCTCCCCACTGTATATACAGTGAGGGGAAAAAAGTATTTGATCCCCTGCTGATTTTGTACGTTTGCCCACTGACAAAGAAATGATCAGTCTATAATTTTAATGTTAGGTTTATTTGAACAGTGAGAGACAGAATAACAACAAAAAAATCCACAAAAACGCATGTCAAAAATGTTATAAATTGATTTGCATTTTAATGAGGGAAATAAGTATTTGACCCCCTCTCAATCAGAAAGATTTCTGGCTCCCAGGTGTCTTTTATACAGGTAACGAGCTGAGATTAGGAGCACACTCTTAAAGGGAGTGCTCCTAATCTCAGTTTGTTACCTGTATAAAAGACACCTGTCCACAGAAGCAATCAATCAATCAGATTCCAAACTCTCCACCATGGCCAAGACCAAAGAGCTCTCCAAGGATGTCAGGGACAAGATTGTAGACCTACACAAGGCTGGAATGGGCTACAAGACCATCGCCCTGCAGCTTGGTGAGAAGGTGACAACAGTTGGTACGATCATTCGCAAATGGAAGAAACACAAAATAACTGTAAATCTCTCTCGGCCTGGGGCTCCATGCAAGATCTCACCTCGTGGAGTTGCAATGATCATGAGAACGGTGAGGAATCAGCCCAGAACTACACGGGAGGATCTTGTCAATGATCTCAAGGCAGCTGGGACCATAGTCACCAAGAAAACAATTGGTAACACACTACGCCATGAAGGACTGAAATCCTGCAGCGCCCGCAAAGTCCCCCTGCTCAAGAAAGCACATATACAGGCCCGTCTGAAGTTTGCCAATGAACATCTGAATGATTCAGAGGAGAACTGGGTGAAAGTGTTGTGGTCAGATGAGACCAAAATCGAGCTCTTTGGCATCAACTCAACTCGCCGTGTTTGGAGGAGGAGGAATGCTGCCTATGACCCCAAGAACACCATCCCCACCGTCAAACATGGAGGTGGAAACATTATGCTTTGGGGGTGTTTTTCTGCTAAGGGGACAGGACAACTTCACCGCATCAAAGGGACGATTGACGGCGCCATGTACTGTCAAATCTTGGGTGAGAACCTCCTTCCCTCAGCCAGGGCATTGAAAATAGGTTGTGGATGGGGATTCCAGCATGACAATGACCCAAAACACACGGCCAAGGCAACAAAGGAGTGGCTCAAGAAGAAGCACATTAAGGTACTGGAGTGGCCTAGCCAGTCTCCAGACCTTAATCCCATAGAAAATCTGTGGAGGGAGCTGAAGGTTCGAGTTGCCAAACGTCAGCCTCGAAACCTTAATGACTTGGAGAAGATCTGCAAAGTGTGACAAAATCCCTCCTGAGATGTGTGCAAACCTGTTGGCCAACTACAAGAAACGTCTGACCTCTGTGATTGCCAACAAGGGTTTTGCCACCAAGTACTAAGTCATGTTTTGCAGAGGGGTCAAATACTTATTTCCCTCATTAAAATGCAAATCAATTCATAACATTTTTTGACATGCGTTTTTCTGGATTTTTTTGTTTTTCTCTCACTGTTCAAATAAACCTACCATTAAAATGATAGACTGATCATGTCTTTGTCAGTGGGCAAACGTACAAAATCAGCAGGGGATCTAATACTTTTTTCCCTCACTGTAATATCAGTCTACATCAAGTCCCAAAAGTGGGTTATGATCATAATTGTGCCATTCAGTCAACACCATGTTAGAAGTATCCTAATTAACCAATAGAAGTGTCACGACTGCATCATGAAACACCACATGGCAACATTTTAAATGACAGCGTACTGATGTGTATAGTGTATATAGTGTACAGATTAATCATTGATCGCTCATGAACCTGTATTTATTGTCTGCATATGCCCTTCTCTATGTTTGATTATGTGTTTGTATGTATGCACAGTGCCACAACCAACATTTCCCCATGGGGATAATTAAGTCATTATCTTATCTTATGAGAGAGATGTACAGGTATAGACTCCAAATATAGAGCTAAGAACAGAGGGGAGGGAAGGCAGCATTGTTGCAACCCTCTAGCGATGAGGATGAATGTACATATGTGGCTAGAGAAACAGATTTTTAATTATTATCCTTGTTTGGACATGGTTCAGTCATACACAGTTAATACTATTTTCTCACCACAATATTTCACAATGACAGTAATATTTCACTATGCTGTATGGGTTGCCCTGTTTTGCAGTTGTGATTTTTAATAGTACATTAACTTGTTCCTCTTGATTTCTCTGTAGAAATGCTCATGGACTCTACAACGGCAACAGCAGAGCTGGGATGGACTGTCTATCCAGCATTGGGGGTCAGTAGAACAAAGCATCTCATTACATGACACACCAGTTTGGAAACCTTTAAAAAACTTTTAGTCATTTTGCAGAACCATTTTTGTATCATCTCTAGCTGCAGCAACATGAGAAGGCCAATTTAGAACAACAACAGTAAATCAGGAATCAATACCCTTATTTGTTTACCATCATGTTCATACACCATTGTTGTTAGGAATACAATTAGGGGCAGCAATATATCCGGTCATAGGTTGCAAAAGTCCCCAAAACAGCATGTGTGAAACCCCCCTGATGTAGTGGTTAGAGTTAATCATTTATTTCATAAAATAAACTTCTAAGCAAAGTGGAATGTGGTAAATTTGCTTACGTATGCCTTTCATGTAAAATGTAAAAGTGGGAGCTGTCTGACGAATTGCAAGGTTGTTTTATTAACTCTGCTGAAGGAAGATTGTCTTGTCATAGTGAAATCAATAATTCATGAAGTGTGTGTGGTGTCAGGAAGATAAACAGTGTGAAAGCCGTGAGCCAAGTGATACATCATCTGAATAGTCTGACTGTCAGCTCGTTGTGTAGGCCTCAGAACAAGGCAGCCCAGGAAGACAAATGTCTGACATGGAAATGTCCACTTTTATATTTATTGTCTATGGACTGTGTTTGTAATTCCACATGGGGTCTCATGCAGACAAAGTTACATAGACAAAGGTCTAAAATACAAGCAGAAAATATAACAATGTTACCTGACAGTATATTCAATTGGATTTGGTCACTTTGAATCTTGTCCAATAGTGTCCAATTGGATAATTTATATGTATTTCAATTATATTATTTAATCATATCATTACATTTACATTTTACATATTTAGCAGATGCTCTTATCCAGAGCGACTTACAGTTAGTGAGTGCATACAATATTATTATTATATATTTTTTTTCATACCCCCCGTGGGAATCGAACCCACAACCAACTGAGCTACATCCCTGCCGGCCATTCCCTCCCCTACCCTGGGCCAATTGTGCGCCGCCCTATGGGTCTCCCTGGTCGCGGCCGGCTACAACAGAGCCTGGATTCTAACCATGATCTCTAGTGGCACAGCTATCACTGCAATGCAGTGCCTTAGACCACTGCGCCACTCGGGAGGCCATATCATATTGTTACCACGTTTATTTTGACATTAATCATGATATGGGTTCTTGGGTTTTTTACGATCAGTAATCAAATGTCCCATTAAAATAATTTGTTGACTGATTACTTGTTTTCACTGGTCATGGATGTTAAACTGACCTCTTGCTCTGTCTGTCCCTGGCAGTGGGAGGAGGTGAGTGGCTACGACGAGAATATGAATACCATCCGCACCTACCAGGTGTGCAACGTCTTCGACAACAACCAGAACAACTGGGTCCGCACCAAGTACATCCGCCGGCGCGGCTCCCAGCGTATCCACGTGGAGATGAAGTTCTCGGTGCGCGACTGCAGCTCCATCCCCAGCGTCCCCGGCTCCTGTAAAGAGACGTTTAACCTGTACTACTACGAGACGGACTCTGACATGGCCAATAAGGTGTCCCCGGCCTGGATGGAGAACCCCTGGATTAAAGTGGACACCATCGCTGCAGACGAGAGCTTCTCCCAGGTGGACCTGGGCGGCCGGGTGATGAAAATCAACAGGGAGGTACGGAGCTTCGGCCCCGTGTCACGCCAGGGTTTCTACCTGGCCTTCCAGGACTACGGCGGCTGCATGTCGCTCATCGCCGTGCGCGTCTTCTACAGGAAGTGCCCCCGCGTCGTCGAGAATGGCGCTGTGTTCCCTGAGACCCTGTCGGGGGCGGAGAGCACCTCCCTGGTGGCGGCGCGGGGCGTGTGTGTGCCCAATGGGGAGGAGGTGGATGTGCCCATCAAGCTCTACTGTAATGGGGACGGGGAGTGGATGGTGCCCATCGGGCGCTGTATGTGCAAGGCTGGGCACGAGGCGGTGGAGAACGGCACCGTGTGTCGAGGTGAGAGCTGCTGATATAATGTGTTTACTGCTACTGTGGACGTTTTGCCTTGGGGTCACTTACTTATTGAGACTAGTGATAAGCCACAGGATAGAGACTTGGACAGATGTAGGATCTTAATTTGAGCCAGTTTGCTACAGCAGGAAAATAATCCTGCAGCAACAGGAAATGTGAATTATTATAATGAATGGACATTTCTGTAGCAGCTGATATATTTTTCGTAAAACGAACTTCAGAAGCCTTTTTAAATGTCAAATACACTACAAGTTTCACATTTCCTGCATTGCAAGAAAGTTCTCCTTCAACAGGGTGATTTAAATTAAGATCCTACATCTTTAATGCATATAATTACTTTGGTCTACTAACTACAGTAGAATCACTAAGGGAACGCAATTAGTGCCAGGAAAGATGGGTCAAGAACGTGCTGTAGGGGGGAGAGTGTTGAGGGTAATTAGAGGTGTCTTTAAACCGTAGACCTGTGTCCCAGCCTTACATTCAGAGAGATATCACTTTATGCCAAGAAAGCACTATCCTAGTGTCTTCCCTTACCCTAATGTATTTCTGTGATGAGTGAAGAAAGGAAGAGACAAGGAAAATGTCCGACACACACACACACACAACCTTACACACATAAATCCCTGGCGATTTGATTAGAAATATCAAGTACTGCTAATGAAGCCCTCAACGACCTGTTCTGCCGTGTTTCACGGTGTGAAGGTTTGTGTCTTTGGGGAGGAGGAACACTTAAATAACCAGAGGTAGTCAATGATATCACTGAGCTGTAGTCATACTGTCACACAGACCCAGCAGTGACTCCCCTATATCGTTACATTTGGTTTAGTCATTCAGGAAATCATTATTCCAGAGTCCATTTTGATTGTAATTTGACGATTGGATGAGGACAGTGACTTCATATCAACAGGCACATTCATACTCACCCAACTTTTATATATAGCCCATAACTGACTGATCTATTAATAACCTATGCTTCCTGGTTTATGTAAGCCATGTTATGACCAGAAATGCCCTAAGCTCTGGGGAATGACCTGATTAGAGATTGCATTACCCCCACTTCTCGGTCCCAAAGACAATAGCACAGCAAAAACGGCATAACACCTCTAGTGATTACCAACATGCTCTAGGGTCAAGCCCTCTAACCTCGCCTCTCTTCCTCTCCCCATGGAGAGCAGTGAATCATGGGAGTATAGCCCTTTGGATTAATTTCAAGACCTGATAGCCTGCAGGGGAAAGAGGGACCTTATTGCTGTAACAATACATTCACTAGCTACATGCATTTGTCTAGTTGGATGAATGAAAATGCAAGGTGGAGAAATTAGCAACGCTCATGCTCAGCCCATCTCTGACTTCCCCCCTTTCCAGTCATAATTGCTGTATTTGTGAGGAGTAAATTCACTAGTCACATATTTGTTGCTGTATCGATTTCTTTCAAAAGGAAGAAGCAAACACTCAAACTCTTGCTTGTACAAAGCACCTTTTCCAAACTTCCAAAGTTCAAACAAATGCCAGTCCCTTTAAAAAAAAGTACCAACATGCTTTAGATGGGTTTGGATTGTGTACATTGTTAACTGATTTGCTACATAGACACTGTTTTGTTGGGTAAACATACACTGTAGGCATTTACTCTGTCCAGTGGGGAAGCCATAGTTATGTCCTGAACAGTGGATGTTGTCTTCTGGGTTTTGGCTTCTTTTGATAATTCAATGGTCATTAAACATAATGAGAGAGAGAGAACTCACCTGCTGCCCCCAGTGTATTCAACACCAGATTTACAACTCTTACATTGTAAATTACAATGACAATTCTGTTAAAAAAAAAAAAACATTTGTAATGTTATTTGCAAAGAGAGTACACTCAGCTTTATGTGAGAGATTAGATGTGCATGACTCTGTACATGTAACATAAGCAACACCCTGTAGTATTTACCCCTCTCTCTCTCCACCTCCAGCAGACACATGGTCCTATGTAATGCTGGGCCACACTCAGATTATTGGGACATCATGGTTCTTGCGTGTAAAAGAGTCATTTGAATCAAGCCACTGCAAATGAAGTCTTCTGAGAATAGTATTCTGGGCTATTTTAGGGCAGACCCCCAAGCTCAAGCATTTACTAACGGGTCAGGAGGTCTGTAAACGCATGAGGGGAAAAGACTGTCCTCTCAATTTACCGCCAGTCCTACAAACATGGCGCATTAGACTCCCTCAGAAACTGAGTCATCCACAACACTCTCTCTCTCTCTCTCTCTCTCTCTCTCGCTCTCTCTCTTTCTCCCTGTCTCTCCCTTTCCCTTTCCCTCTTCCTCTCCCTCTCCCGCCTCTCTCTCTCTCTCTCTCTCTCTCTCTCTCCCTCTTTGTCCTCCCCCTCTCACACACACACAGTTGATATGTTATTTTTACTTAACCACAATTTAAAAAGATTCACAGGGCTGTGTAGAGGAGACATAGTGGGAATGTTGTTGGGCGACCTCATATTGGGATATTGCTTTCAGTCCCTCTGCCACTCCTGAACTCAGCCTCTCTTATACAAGTGTCTCTTCTTCATCTCTGACAGAGCCTCTTTATGCAGACTGTGTGTGCATGCATGTGTGCACTCGTCCATGCGTGTGCGTGGTCCTATTTATAGCATATATGGTCGGGAAGCACAAACAGCTTCTGGCCCTAATTAGGAGAATGGCTCCTCAGAATGTTAGCGATGTTGTCAGTGTCAATACATGGCACTGGGTTGTCTCTACCTGCTACTGGATGAAAGTCAGGCACTGTTTACAAATTGACCTTTGCTACGCGTGTCCAGTTTTGTTAAGCCCTTGATAAGGTCAAAGTTAAATTCCACTGCTCCACAATAGTATGACACATCAGGCTGACTCAATAATTATTTTGTTTTGTCAAGAAGAATTGTCTCAAAGAACATGATAATTTTGGTGTTTTCAGTTTCATATTCTACTACTGTAGTATCACAAAATGTAAGCCAACTCTTGAGATTGTAAAAGTGTAAACACTTTTAAATTGTTTTCAATCTATAGATATTTTATAGTGCCATGCTTGAATCTAGGGTTGGGAGGTATCCAGATTTTCATATCCTCATATGTTCCTTCTCTCACACCGGGATTTACGGAATTACCGGCTTAGTACATAAGGGGGTCTATTACCAGAATGGTAACAGAATTAGCACTTTGTAATAGAGAATTTCCATGGAGGCTGCTAGCTAAATATGCTAACGAGCGCATACGAAAATACACAAATTGCAAAGACAGACAACCCAGCTCATAAAGTTATACATATATAGAACTAACGAGAATTCACGAATGGGCATTCTATCAAAAGACATCGCTCTGACTGATGTGTAGCTACTTTTCTCCAGTACTTTTCTCGGGGCCAGCCTACTTTTCTCTGGTAAAATGCAAGATTAATTTTAAACAAAACATTAGGAAATGTAGCTGGTTACATTCTGTCTATGATAAACATTAGAAATATGATGGCCATGCATCTCCCCCCTCTTACCAATGTTTCAGGCGCTGGAGAATGCCAAACACAGATGAATAGATATACACAAAACAAATACTATTTGAATCAACAACAACAAAAAAGTTATTCAACTGGTCACAAGTAAATGAGTTAGGTTTTCTCAATTGAAAAATACTGTTTATTTGATTATTACCAAACTGATATTTCAAGTTGCAACCTATTTCTTTCAACACTCTTTTCCTTTTTGGTTAAACCTAATAAATAACAAATACAATACAATATTTTATGTAAATACAACCCATTTTTTCATCTTGTTCGAAGTTCACTTTTTAATTTGGAATTACCTATTCACATTTTTTTAAATTGCGTTACAAGATATTAAATAAATTCCCTGTGAATCAAGACATTAAGTTGGTTCAATAACTTAAAATAATGTTTCCAAACAAATTCTTTACACAAGACTTCCACATTTAGTAGCCACAATATCGTAACCAAGCATTGGCTACCTTAACATAGAAACCTTATCAGGCTCTTTAGTATCACATGCACCTTATCATTATTAGGGCCAGTTGTTTTGGTTGTTTATGTTTTGTTTTTTACCAGTATTTCCAGCATTATCCACTAGGTTTGCTACAGGTAGAAAATCCTAGGAAATGTTATTTAATTGACACAAGCTGTCTCCAATCAGTCAATCAATGTCTGGTTGTATGTGAGTGTTTGGTGGGGGGATCGCCTAACAAGTCAGCTACGCTACACATGTTGCCATCAGCATTGTGTCAATGTGACGTTCTACCTGCTAGACCATAAACCAACCGAAAATCAACTTTTTTTAAATTCCCATTCACAAGATAGAAGATAGAATGCGTCAGCCATCGAGAATTGAACCTCTGCGATTCTTGAGCTTGGACGCTGTCGTTGGACGTGACACAACGCGGGCAGTATAGCAGCTTTCATTGATTTCAAAGGAAGCGTTCCCTCAATGGCTGATGGCTGATGGCAATGTTGGACGCCCGATGGCTGTAGTTTAGCAGGGCCATAAGACAGTGGAGGTGTAGCTCTACAAATCTGAATTGCACAACGCTTATTATTTGGCAGGGAATGCTATTTTAGATCAGTGATTCTACATCTCACTTTGCTCAAGCTGATCCTCTCCAACGGATTCGGAAGATGTAGCAAAAAAATTGTCAATTAGAGGCAGTTTAAGGGGAGTGCACCCTCATTGACTGCAATGGGGAAACCCATTCTAGTAATTATATTTCTATGGTGGTAGGATCCAGGGGCTGGAACGAAGGCACTGGCCTGAAACATTGATATCTGAGTATCACAGTTGATTTATTTATTGAATTACCCCTTATTATAGAATTGTCAATCCCCTCTCCTCTCTGTCTGGGTCTAGCCATGGGTGTTCCCTGGGTCCCTCTGTCAACAGACTCTTCCTTTTGTTTCATCACACTGGCTGTCCTTTGACTGCCTGCGATTCCTATAGCTTCTCATTGTGGCAAGAAGAAGATAGGACAGTTAGTAAAGGATGGGTTTGGACCTCTTGGTAAATGAGACAAAAACTAAATGAATTCAATAACAACAAGAGGCAAACACTCTTTCAATTCAAGAGAAGAATGTAAAGTTATCCTCCGAAAATGGGTAAAAAATATACTACTGTATATATTTGTTCCCACTGTCATGTCACAGACTGGTAAATGCACTCCAGAGTGGTCTGGGATAGACTGCTACGTGTCTGCCAGTGTCAGACAGTCAGAATTTTTGTGTCCCAAATGGCACCCTATTCTCTTTGCGCTCCTTTTGACCAGAGCCCTATGGGCCCTGCCGCCCTGGTCAAAAGGAGCGCACCATATAGGGAATAGCGTGCCATTTGGGACGCATCCAGAGAGTTGATGAAGTGGCAGACAGGCATTTAATTACTTTCACACCATTTTGATTGGATTAGCTTGCAAAGCCGGAGGCTGCAGTAACCTTCACACACATCACTTACCCCTTTAGAAGACACACTCCATGGTTTTGGTAGGATATTGGTTAGCAGCATTTGTTGATTGGAACAAAGGTTTCTACACATAGACATTCTCAATGTAGGCAATCATGGAGGAGAATGAATGATGGAGTGTATTAGCCTATGGTAGTGATATGAGGATTTGGTATAGATTCTCCTCTTTCTCTTTAACCCTATTTCAACACATACTCCATTTACATTTGAGTCATTTAGCAGACGCTCTTATCCAAAGCGACTTACAGTTAGTGAGTGCATACAGTTGTAGAATATGTATAACCCCATATATTGTCCTCTACACTCAACCACCTCTCTCTCCCTATCACACACCCTTTGCCTGTTATCGTATAGCCATTCAATTCCAGACCTCCAGATTTCAAAGTCTCTTTGACTATGCCTCACTCTGTTCTCCCAGAGTTTTAAATGCCATGAGACAAAAACCTGAATAGCAAGCCTCAGATTCCTGGAAGTTGTATTTTATTAACCATATGTGGAAAGACATGCCAAAGCTAATGTGTCTGTGTATTTCAAGACCAACATTTTATAATATGTATTTTTTCTCTCATGCCGTCATATTGTAAAATGTCTGGTATTGAATGTATGTCACTCTTAAGTATAATAACTTAATTCATAACCTCTCTCTCCCACTCCCTCTGTTTCTTCTCTCTATTTCTCCTCTGCAGCATGTGGCTCAGGGTTCTTTAAGCCTTCCCAGGGCAACCACCAGTGTCTCCAGTGTCCCATCAACAGTCGCATCACCAATGAAGGGGCCACCAACTGTGTGTGCCGCAACGGTTACTACCGCACCAACTCAGATCCCCCACTGATGCCCTGCACCAGTAGGTTCCTGGTCCTTACAGTACCACACACTCTCCATAGGGGGTGTTGTAGCACAGTGTTAAGGAAAGACAGTAGAGATTCTCATACTACAGCCTATTTAGTAGGTTTTTTATGTATTTAAGAATATAGCGTTTTGTAGCATGCAAACATGTATCAAAATTGATATTTTGACTAATGAATTGACAAATGCTCTCAGGACATAATGGACCATTATCAATTCGTGAACTGAGTTTTCATTTGTTATTTGAATTTACTAACAGAATCCATCACCTCTCCTCTAATAATTTAGGCCTAATGTGTCATTCACTATAGATAAAAGCACCTGTCTAGCAAAGACAGAATGAATCTGATACATGTTGTGCATAATGCAATGAGCACAAACAAACCTATGCTAACCTATTCAACTTTCACTCTTTTAACAACACTCCAGCTCCACTTGTATATTTTCACATCAAATCAAATCACATTTTATTGGTCACATGCGCCGAATACAACAGTGAAATGCTTACTTACAGCCCTTAACCAACAGTGCATTTATTTTAACAAAAAAAGTAAAAATAAAACAACAACAAAAAAAGTGTTGAGAAAAAAAGAGCAGAAGTAAAATGCATACTTCTAGGTGCCCCGTACCCGAGGGCAAAACACGGGTTATGCTTCATCCTGGTATGTGGTGGCCCTCTTTTGTATACGCACTGAACTGGTGGAATGTCCCTTCCATTCTCTTCCATTGGTGCAACAGTCCGACAAGGACCTCAGAGAAAATAGCCTGAGAGATTTGCATAAGCCTGTCCCTTATGAGGGGGGCAGCTGTTTAGAATGTGAAAACATGGTCTGCGTCCCAAATGGAACCCTATTGCCTTTATAGTGGACTACTTTTGACCAGAGCCCTATAGGTACCCTATTATGGGCCCTGGTAAAAAGTAGTGCACTATAAAGGCAATAGGGTTCCATTTGGGACGCACCCAGGGCCACAATGGCGAGGTGGCCCTCAGCAGTCTTTTTCTGATTGAAGAGGCAGAAATGAGCATGCATGGGCATTCTTTGTGTCTGTCAGATTTCAACAGGACGCTAGCTAGCTCACTGCTCTTTTCACTGTTCTCGCTCCCTACTATTGAAATTTGTATCTGAAGCCTGATGGGGTTGAATAGAGCTCATGAAAATACTTTGGTCTTTGAATTTAGTGTCCGAATAATCACCTAAGGTGAATACTTTCTGTTCAGTTGAAGTGTGGAGACTGTAGTTTTGTAACCTACTGTACACTACTCCAACCACATAGAGTTAATTTATTACAGAGTTAACCAGCTGTCAACAACTCTGATCCTGGAGAGCTATAGTACAGGGTGTGGGTTGGGTTGAAATCAAATGCTGGACACCCTGTTGCTCCTCAGGACCAAGGTTGATGATGACCAGTGTCTGGAGTATAGACCTTATTATCAGTGACCCTCCCTAAACTCTTCTTCATCTCCCTCATCTTCCCTGACAGCCATCCCCTCTGCGCCCCAGAGCGTAATCTCCATCGTGAACGAGACATCCCTGAGGTTGGAGTGGAGCGCGCCGCGCGATGGCGGGGGCCGCGAGGACGTGGTCTACAACGTCATCTGTAAGAACTGTGGAGGGGGCCGGGGAGGCTGCACACGCTGCGGGGACAACGTCCAGTTCGCCCCCCGCCAACTGGGCCTGACAGAGACCAGGGTCCACATCAGTGACCTGCTGGCCCACACGCAATACACCTTTGAGATCCAGGCAGTCAACGGGGTCTCCGACCAGAGCCCCTACTCGCCACAGTACTCCTCGGTCAAAATCACCACCAACCAGGCCGGTAAGGAACCAATAGACACAGTCCGCTACAGCAATTCATTCACTCTTCTCCAACAGTACTGTGTTCAAGTGTGAAGTTCAGTGGAGAGAAATGGTCAGCAGTGTGTCCAGTCTGACAAGGAGTGCCAAAGGAAATATTACACCAAATATGGGTTTAGACATTTTGATGGACGAAACAATCATCCTGGTGTTTTGCAAGGGCAAGATCTGCATAAGTAAATATACAGTGGGGAAAAAAAGTATTTAGTCAGCCACCAATTGTGCAAGTTCTCCCACTTAAAAATATGAGAGAGGCCTGTAATTTTCATCATAGGTACACGTCAACTATGACAGACAAAATGAGAGAAAAAAATCCAGAAAATCACATTGTAGGATTCTTTATGAATTTATTTGCAAATTATGGTTGAAAATAAGTATTTGGTCAATAACAAAAGTTTCTCAATACTTTGTTATATACCCTTTGTTGGCAATGACACAGGTCAAACGTTTTCTGTAAGTCTTCACAAGGTTTTCACACACTGTTGCTGGTATTTTGGCCCATTCCTCCATGCAGATCTCCTCTAGAGCAGTGATGTCGCTGGGCAACACGGACTTTCAACTCCCTCCAAAGATTTTCTATGGGGTTGAGATCTGGAGACTGGCTAGGCCACTCCAGGACCTTGAAATGCTTCTTACGAAGCCACTCCTTCGTTGCCCGGGCGGTGTGTTTGGGATCATTGTCATGCTGAAAGACCCAGCCACGTTTCATCTTCAATGCCCTTGCTGATGGAAGGAGGTTCTCACTCAAAATCTCACGATACATGGCCCCATTCATTCTTTCCTTTACACGGATCAGTCGTCCTGGTCCCTTTGCAGAAAAACAGCCCCAAAGCATGATGTTTCCACCCCCATGCTTCACAGTAGGTATGGTGTTCTTTGGATGCAACTCAGCATTCTTTGTCCTCCAAACACGACGAGTTGAGTTTTTACCAAAAAGTTCTATTTTGGTTTCGTCTGACCATATGACATTCTCCCAATCCTCTTCTGGATCATCCAAATGCACTCTAGCAAACTTCAGACGGGCCTGGACATGTACTGGCTTAAGCAGGGGGACACGTCTGGCACTGCAGGATTTGAGTCCCTGGTGGCGTAGTGTGTTACTGATGATAGGCTTTGTTACTTTGGTCCCAGCTCTCTGCAGGTCATTCACTAGGTCCCCCCGTGTGGTTCTGGGATTTTTGCTCACCGTTCTTGTGATCATTTTGACCCCACGGGGTGAGATCTTGCGTGGAGCCCCAGATCGAGGGAGATTATCAGTGGTCTTGTATGTCTTCCATTTCCTAATAATTGCTCCCACAGTTGATTTCTTCAAACCAAGCTGCTTACCTATTGAAGATTCAGTCTTCCCAGCCTGGTGCAGGTCTACAATTTTGTTTCTGGTGTCCTTTGACAGCTCTTTGGTCTTGGCCATAGTGGAGTTTGGAGTGTGACTGTTTGAGGTTGTGGACAGGTGTCTTTTATACTGAAAACAAGTTCAAACAGGTGCCATTAATACAGGTAACGAGTGGAGGACAGAGGAGCCTCTTAAATAAGAAGTTACAGGTCTGTGAGAGCCAGAAATCTTGCTTGTTTGTAGGTGACCAAATACTTATTTTCCACCATAATTTGCATATAAATTCATAAAAATCCTACAATGTGATTTTCTGGAATTTTTTTCCTCAATTTGTCTGTCATAGTTGACGTGTACCTATGATGAAAATTACAGGCCTTGCACAATTGGTGGCTGACTAAATACTTTTTTCCCCCACTGTATACTTAATGTAGTACAAACCATGTCTGTGTAAGGATGCTTAAGTAATATTTATGATGTCTGCATGAGATAGAGGATATTCCTGAACAATTCAGTGACAGAATGATTTGTGACCTTTATTAGAATTGAGTAAGTTGAATTGCATTTAGGGCGCTTGGAATACAGTATTCAGACATGACTTACACCGTATTTGTTCAGGTTCCAGTTTCAATGAACTGGGTGTTAGGCAGTGTTGTTATTGGGGTCAGGCTATCGGTTGAAACTCTCTGCCCTTGAAACTGTAGTCTTTTCTCCAGTGCAGTAGCTGTCAGTCCCAATTACTGTCTGGGCTGGGACTGTAAAAATACCAAACTCCGGTTCCCATGAGCCCCAGTGTCTTTGCGGCCGCTGGGACCTGCAATTACAGACTATAAGGACAAGCACTAATATTACATAAACAGGGCCTCATTAAGCCCTCATTAAGGAAATGTGTGTGTGTTTGTGTGTGTGTGTGTGTGTGTGTGTGTGTGTGCGCGCGCGCGTGCGTGCGGATGGCTGTGTCTTTGCCTACTGAGTGAATATTTCACACCTCAGAGTGAAAACAAATACAATATTACTATTAGTATTTTCAGAGCATGGATGACTGTAATAGTACTTAATAAACCGCCTCTGATGTTCCTGGCTCTCCGTTCCTTCAGCACAGTACAGATGTCAGCCTTAGAGACAGGGTGCAGGACCAGGCACAGGCTGCTGCATCATTAGTCTATCTCTTGATTGGCAGTTGAAATTTTAAAGCTGTCTGCTCCCTGGTGTTGTGGTATTGTCACTAACCCTAACCCTTCTATCCCTGTCTATCTGAACCTGTATATCCTTCTCTCTTCCCTCTTCTCTCTCTCTCTCGCTCTCTTTCTCTCAGCGCCATCGGCCGTGTCGATTATGCACCAGGTGAGCCGGACCCCTGACAGCATCACTCTCTCCTGGTCCCAACCTGACCAGCCCAACGGCCTCATACTGGACTATGAGCTGCAGTACTATGAAAAGGTAAAGTCAGTTGACAGGTGTTACTACTGTATTACTGCTGTAATTGCTATTACTGTAAGCTTGGGGAGCATTCAAACAGTGAGCAGATCCAGTCTTACACTCTGTGTGTGCGTGTGCATGTGCATGTGTGTGTTCCAGAGCATGGCAGAATGGAACTCATCGGTGGTGCACAGTCAGACCAACACAGCAGTTATCCATGGCCTGAAGCCCGGAGCTATATACGTCTTCCAGGTGCGGGCTCGGACCGTAGCTGGATTCGGACGCTTCAGCGGAAAGATGTTCTTTCAGACCATGACCGAAGGTATGCCGTTCGAACTAGACCTCGAACCATCGAATAGTATTTGTTTTAGTGTTTTTCAAACACTTGATTTAGCTTGCCCGCTATATGGTATAGTCCCAAAAGTGCAACATTGCAGAGTAGGCCAACCTAGTAGAAGTTAATAAGCGGAATGGGGTTTATTTTGTTGTGTACTTGCAGAGGAGTACAAGTCCAGCTTTCAGGAGAAGCTCCCCCTCATCATTGGCTCAGCCGCTGCAGGCGTGGTCTTCATCATCGCTGTCGTCGTATTCGTCATCGTCTGCAATCGAAGAAGCTCTGAGAGACCAGAATCTGAATACACAGACAAGCCCCAGCACTACACCAGTGGCCACAGTGAGTAACGCCTTTACAATTTTAATCATCTTTTTTTGAACTAGGATTAATTTAGATTTATATAGATTCACCTTCCAACAGACAACCATCAATCCGTGGGAAATGTGTTGAATGGTGGAGTGAAACATTTGTTGAGAAATAATACTATCATCCTGGAGACAGTGGGGATATTACGGTTAGATGTGGAATACTGGGAGTTCAGGGTTACTACTGTACCTAACTACCTGTATCAGGTCTTAGCCCAGGCATCATTTTAGCTACTCTTGTATGTAGTCCCAATGTGTATCCCCAGGATGTATATTATGCATAGCCTCTGTTTTCTTTGTTTCTCCTTCCAAGTGTCTCCAGGAATGAAGATCTATATCGACCCCTTCACTTATGAGGACCCCAACGAGGCGGTGAGGGAGTTTGCCAAAGAGATCGACACCTCCTGTGTCAAGATCGAGCAAGTCATTGGCGCAGGTAAAAAATCAACCGGTGAAGGTGATAACCCTACACAGTGGCTTGCGAAAGTATTCACCCCCCTTGGCATTTTTCCTATTTTGTTGCCTTACAACCTGGAATTTAAATGGATTTTTTGGGGGTTTGTATCATTTGATTTACACGACATGCCTACCACTTTGAAGATGCAAAATATTTTTTATTGTGAAACTAACAAGAAATAAGACAAAAAACAGAACTTGAGCGTGCATAACTATTCACCCCCCCCAAAGTCAATACTTTGTAGAGCCACCTTTTGCAGCAATTACAGCTTGTAAGTCTCTTGGGATAATAATAATAATAATATGCCATTTAGCAGACGCTTTTATCCAAAGCGACTTACTGTCATGCGTGCATACATTTTTGTGTATGGGTGGTCCCGGGGATCGAACCCACTACCCTGGCGTTACAAGCACCGTGCTCTACCAGCTGGGTATGTCTCTGTCATTGTCCTGCTGAAAGGTGAACCTCCGTACCAGTCTCAAATCTCTGGAAGACTGAAACAGGTTTCCCTCAAGAATTTCCCTGTATTTAGCGCCATCCATCATTCCTTCAATTCTGACATGTTTCCCAGTCCCTGCCGATGAAAAACATCCCCACAGCATGATGCTGCCACCACCATGCTTCACTGTGGTGTTCTCGGGGTGATGAGAGGTGTTGGGTTTGCGCCAGACCTAGCATTTTCCTTGATGGCCAAAAAGCTCAATTTTAGTCTCATCTAACCAGAGTACCTTCTTCCATATGTTTGGAGAGTCTCCCACATGCCTTTTGGCGAACACCAAACGTGTTTACTTATTTTTTTCTTTAAGCAATGGCTTTTTTCTGGCCACTCTTCCGTAAAGCCCAGCTCTGTGGAGTGTATGGCTTAAAGTGGTCCTATGGACAGATACTTCAATCTCCGCTGTGGATCTTTGCAGCTCCTTCAGGGTCTCTTTGTTGTCTCTCTGATTAATGCCCTCCTTGCCTGGTCCGTGAGTTTTGGTGGTTGCACCAGATCTTATTTAGGGGCTTCATAGCAAAGGGGGTGAATACATATGCACGCACCACTTTTCCGTTATTTATTTTTTAGAATATTATTAAACAAGTTATTTTTTTCATTTCACTTCACCAATTTGGACTATTTTGGGTATGTTCATTACATGAAATCCAAATAAAAATCAATTTAAATTACAGGTTGTAATGCAATAAAATAGGAAAAACGCCAAGGGGGATGAATACTTTTGCAAGGCACTGTATACATTACAACATATACATTATAACACATTTTAAACTTAGTCCTGGACTAAAAAGAATTCTCAATGGACATTCGCCATTGAAATCACTTTTTATTCCAGGACTTGACTTAATCTGTGTATGGGAAACTGGCCCATAAAGTGTGATATTGATATACACGTGTGTATTAAACCCAATAATTCATCTTGTAAGATTGTCTTACATTTAATATATCCAAGTTACAGACCCATATCATAGCACTTGGATAAATCTTATACAGATGTAGGATCTTAATTTGAGCCAGTTTGCTACAGCAGGAAAATAATCCTGCAGCAACAGGAAATGTGAATTATTATGTGGATTATAATTAATGGACATTTAAAAACAAAAAATCGTTAGGGCAAATCAAGTCTGAAATGTTAAAGTGGAAATTACAAACTTTAGAAGCCTTGTTAAACCTCGAATACGCTACAATTTTCTGCAACAGTCCTTTGCTGATGCACAGTAAACCTGAACATGTTATTGTTCAGGAGAGTTTGGGGAGGTGTGCAGCGGGAACCTGCATCTCCCGGGAAAGAGAGAGATCCTGGTGGCCATCAAGACCCTGAAGGTTGGCTACACAGAGCGCCAGAGACGGGACTTCCTATCTGAGGCGTCCATCATGGGCCAGTTTGACCACCCCAACATCATCCACCTGGAGGGCGTGGTCACCAAGAGCGCCCCCGTCATGATCATCACTGAGTTCATGGAGAACGGATCGCTGGACTCCTTCCTCAGGGTCAGTAGGTCAATGGGCCTTAACGTAGGGCATCTCAATACTCTGGAGAGATCTTTTCTCCTTTCCTTCCTTCTTCCAGACACTTATCAGGTTCATACACAGTAGGTGGCTTTCCCCTGTCTTGTCTTTTTGGATCAGTGCAAATAAAAGGAAAGGGCTGGATCTCTGCCTAATCTCATGAGTGAATTTCAGAGATAATGAATATGACAGCATTTAAAATTCAGAAAGTATTCATACCCCTTGACTTATTCCACATTTTGTTGTGATATAGCCTGAATTCAAAATGAATTAAAAAAACAAAAGTATCACTAATCTACAAAGAATACCCCATAATGACAAAGTGAAAACATATTTTTTTGCAAATGTATTGAAAATGAAATACAGAAAGAGGAAATTTACATAAGTATTCACACCTCTGAGTCAATACTTTGTAGAAGCACCTTTGGTGGTGATTACAGCTTTGAGTCATCTTGGGTATGTCTGTATCAGCTTTGCACATCTGCATTTTCTCCCATTCTTCCCTGCAGATTTTCTCAAGCTCTGTTAGGTTAGATGGGGAGTGGCGGTGAACAGCATTCTTCAAGTATTTCCACAGATTTTCATTGGGTTTCAAGTCTGGGCTTTGGCTGGGCCACTCAAGGACTTTCACATCCTTGTTCTGAAGCCATTCCAGCATTGCTTTGGATGTATGTTTGGGGTCCTTGTCCTGTTGGAACATAAATATTTGCCCCAGTCTAAGGTTGTTTGCACTCTGAAGCAGGTTCTCATCAAGGATTTGCCTGTATTTGGCTCCATTCATTGTTCCCTCTATCCCAGTCCCTGCCGCTGAAAAGCATCCCCATTGCATGATGCTGCCACCACCATGCTTCACAGAAGGGATGGCGTTAGACAGGTGATGAGCTGTGCCTGGTTTTCTCCTGACATAGTGCTTTGCATTCAGGCCAAAGAGTTACATTTTTGTCTCATCAGACCACAAAAACTTTTGCCAGAGTCTTTCACTTGCCTTTTTGTAAACTCCAGGCGTGCTGTCATGTGCCTTTTTCTCAGGAGTGCCTTCTGTCTGGCTGCACTCCCATAAAGCCTAGATTGGTTAAGTGCTATAGAGACTGTTTTCCTTCTGGCAGGTTCTCTCATCTCAGCCAAGGAACTCTATAGTGTCAGAGTGGTCATTGGGTTCTTGGTCACCTCCCTGACCAAGGTCCTTCTTGCCCAGTTGCTCAGTTTGGTCGGACGCTCAGTTTGGTCGGACGGCCAGCTCTAGGCGGAGTCTGGGTAGTTCCATATTTGTTCCAATTCCCAATAATGGGGACCACTGTGCTCTTGGAAACTTCCAACACTCTATAAATTGTTTTATACCCTTCCCCAAATATATGCCTCATCACAATTCTATCGCAGAGATCTATAGACAGTTCCTTGGATTTCATGGTATAGTTTCTGCTCTGACATGCACTGTCAACTGTGGGACCTTATATAGACAGGTGTGTTTCTTTCTAAATCATGTCCAAACAATTGAATTGGCCACAGGTGGACTCCAATCAAGTTGTAGTGACATCTCAAGGATGATCAAAGGAAATTGGATGCACCTGAGCTCAATTTAGAGCGTCATAGCAAAAGGGTGTGAATACTTATGTAAATTAGATATTTCTGTATTTAATTTTCTATAAATGTGCTAACATTTCTAATAACATGTTTTCACTTTGTCATTATAGGGTATTGTGTGTAGATGGGTGAGATATTTGTTTTTAATCCATTTTGAATTCAGGCTGTAACACAACAAAATGTGGAATAAGTCAAGGGGTATGAATACTTTCTGAAGGGACTGTAACACAGTAACCAGACAGTGGATAAGTATCTCTTATCAACTACAGATTTTTCAACTTCAACTACGTTTCAACATCAAGAACACAATGGATTCAAGAACACAGTGGCTGTCTCTCCTCCCCATCAACACTTTATAGCTTTCTTGTTTTTGATTCGCTGTAGTGGGTCCCTCCGGGCTGGGCCCAGGTGTGAGGTGTGTAGCGTTGGCTTAGTTAGATCAGGCGAGCTCACAGATCCAGATGAGGATCAACCAGACGCAAAATGTTGTGCGGCTAACAACGCCTGGAAACTAATATGAGAACCAGCATAATTTTTTGAGAACGTGTACTGCACGCCTGAGCACATATCAGAGAGTATAGCATAAAACATAACATAACATAACATAGCATAGTATAGACATATAGCAATATAACATTTCTGTATTTCTTTAGCAAAATGATGGGCAGTTCACAGTGATCCAACTGGTGGGCATGCTGCGTGGCATAGCAGCGGGCATGAAGTACCTGAATGACATGAACTACGTGCACCGGGACCTGGCCGCCCGCAATATCCTGGTCAATAGCAACCTGGTGTGTAAGGTGTCGGACTTCGGGCTCTCACGCTTTCTGGAGGATGACACATCAGATCCCACTTACACCAGCGCCCTGGTGAGTGTGGCTCTGTCCCAATATCCATACTTCCATACTGTGTAGTATGAAGCAATGTATTTTGGGCATGTTAGACCCCACAAACACCAGTGTCCTGGTGAGTATGGCTCTGTACCAATCATAGGAATATATTATATTTCTATGCTTCCAATATACACACTAGAATACCACTTATTATGAAGCAATGTATTGGGCGTGCATTGTAAGTGGTATGCTAGTATGGAAATGTATCAGGTTTAAGATGATAAATACAGGATGCATCCTAATAGTCTAAAGTGGCTTCTTCTCGTCTCCGTCCTTTCATCGCCACTGATTTGCAAGTTATGGACACAGGAAAGCAATATCACAGTTGCTTGAAGGGATACTTTGAGATTTTGTCAATGGCCTTTATCTACTTCCCCAGAGTCAAATTAACTCATGGATACCATTTTTATGTATCTGCATCCAGTATGAAGGAAGTTAGAGGTAGTTTCACGAGCCAACGCTAACTAGCGTTGCGCTAATGCTAGTTAGCAATTGCACTAACGCTAGTAAGCAACTTCCTTCAAACTGCAGAGACATAAAAATGGTATCCACGAGTTCATCTGACTGGGGAAGTAAAGGTCAACATTGCCAAAATCCCAAAGTATCCCTTTAACAAAGAATTTGCTTTCACCTGTCCAGTGCTATCAGATCAGTGCAGATGAAGACAATGGAGATGAGGAAACAACTATCACTTCTTGAGACTATTAAGATCCACCCACAACCTAGGATTTATTTGCAGGCTCCAGTCCAATTTTCTACCGTACTCCTGAAGTGTGCATTCAAAAAAAAAAAGCAAGGGACTCTTCATATAATGAAAAAGCTTTTATTTGTATGGCATGTTCAATGGAACAAATATTTTAAAACGCGTTTCGGCAGCATGGCCTTCATCATGGAGTACTCCGAAATGTGTCAGAGTTTTTAAATGCTTGTTATTTAACCGCTTTTAACCAAAGAGCACCTTTTATTTACCAATACCTACTAGTGTATTATCCAGGAGCACTTCCTTCCTCCTTTTTTGTACTCCTTCTTATAGTTTTAAAAGAAATGGACTGGTTTAAGAAATATGGTGGAAACTGACATCAAGTCGCTCTGGAGAAGAGTGTCTGCTAAATTACTTGCACCAATCCAATACTTCTAAATGGATGAGGAGAGTGACCAAGTGAACGGTCCTGACTGAGGGGTAGAGAATTGGTACGCAACACTTGTCTGTCTTTCCAGGGAGCGAAGATCCCTATCCGATGGACTGCCCCGGAAGCCATCCAGTACAGGAAGTTCACCTCCTCCAGTGATGGGTGGAGCTATGGCATCGTCATGTGGGAGGTGATGTCATACGGAGAGAGGCCTTACTGGGATATGAGTAATCAAGATGTGAGTATCCAGGAGTCATCATGGTCGTCATCTCTCTCTCTCTCTCTCTCTCTCTCTCTCTCTCTCACTTTTACACTTTTATTGTAAATAAGAATAGAATGTTTATAAACGCGTCTATATTAATGTGGTTGCTTCCATGATTATGGATAGTCCTGAATGAAACGTGAATAATGATGAGTGAGAAAGTTACAGATGCACAAATATCATACCCCCCCCCCCCCCCCCCCCCCCATGTCTTGGAGGTATGATACAGTGGCTTGCGAAAGTATTCACCCCCCTTGGCATTTTGTTGCCTTACAACCTGGAATTAAAATTGATTTTTGGGGGATTTGTATCATATGATTTACACAATATGCCTACCACTTTGAAGATGCAGAATATTATCCGTGAAACAAACAAGAAATAAGACAAAGAAAACAGAGAACTTGAGCGTGCGTAACTATTCACCCCCTCCCAAAGTCAATACTTTGTAGAGCCACCTTTTGCAGCAATTACTGCTGAAAGTCTTTTGGGGTATGTCTCTATAAGCTTGGCACATCTAGCCACTGGGATTTTTGCCCATTCTTCAAGGCAAAACTGCTCCAGCTCCTTCAAGTTGGGTTCCGCTGGTGTACAGCAATCTTTAAGTCATACCACAGATTCTCAATTGGATTGAGGTCTGGGCTTTGACTAGGCCATTCCAAGACATGTAAATGTTTCCCCTTAATCCACTCTAGTGTTTATTTAGCAGTATGCTTAGGGTCATTGTCCTGCTGAAAGGTGAACCTCCATCCCAGTCTCAAATCTCTGGAAGACTGAAACAGGTTTCCCTCAAGAATTTCCCTGTATTTAGCGCCATTCATCATTCCTTCAATTCTGACATGTTTCCCAGTCCCTGCCAATGAAAAACATCCCCACAGCATATTGCACAAGGATGGTGTTCTTGGGGTTAGCGTTTTCCTTGATGGCCAAAAAGCTCAATTTTAGTCTCATCTGACCAGAGTACCTTCTTCCATATGTTTGGGGAGTCTCCCACATGTCTTTTGGCGAACACCAAACATGTTTGCTTATTTCTTTCTTTAAACAATGTTTTTTTTCTGGCCACTCTTCCGTAAAGCCCAGCTCTGTAGAGTGTACGGCTTAAAGTGGTCCTATGGACAGATACTCCAATCTCCACTGTAGAGCTTTGCAGCTCCTTCAGGGTTATCTTTGGTCTCTTTGTTACCTCTCTGATTAATGCCCTCCTTGCCTGGTCCATGAGTTTTGGTGGGCGGCCCTCTCTTGGCAGGTTTGTTGTGGTGCCATATTCTTTAAATTTTTTAATAATGGATTTAATGGTGCTCCGTGGGATGTTCAAAGTTTTGGATATTTTTTTATAACCCAACCCTGATCTGTACTTCTCCACAACTTTGTCCCTGACCTGTTTGGAGAGCTGCTTGGTCTTCATAGTGCCGCTTGCTTGGTGGTGCCCCTTGCTTAGTGGTGTTGCAGACTCTGGGGCCTTTCAGAACAAATGTATGTACAGTGAGGGAAAAAAGTATTTGATCCCCTGCTGATTTTATACGTTTGCCCACTGACAAAGACATGATCAGTCTATAATTTTAATGGTAGGTTTATTTGAGCAGTGAGAGACAGAATAACAACAAAAAAATCCAGATAAACGCATGTCAAAAATGTCATAAATTCATTTGCATTTTAATGAGGGAAATAAGTATTTGACCCCTCTGCAAAACATGACTTAGTACTTGGTGGCAAAACCCTTGTTGGCAATCACAGAGGTCAGACGTTTCTTGTAGTTGGCCACCAGGTTTACACACATCTCAGGAGGGATTTTATTCCACTCCTCTTTGCAGATCTTCTCCAAGTCATTATGGTTTCGAGGCTGACGTTTGGCAACTCGAACCATCAGCTCCCTCCACAGATTTTCTATGGGATTAAGGTCTGGAGACTGGCTAGGCCACTCCAGGACCTTAATGTGCTTCTTCTTGAGCCACTCCTTTGTTGCCTTGGCCGTGTGTTTTGGGTCATTGTCATGCTGGAATACCCATCCACGACCCATTTTCAATGCCCTGGCTGAGGGAAGGAGGTTCTCACCCAAGATTTGATGGTACATGGCCCCATCCATCGTCCCTTTGATGCGGTGAAGTTGTCCTGTCCCCTTAGCAGAAAAACACCCCCAAAGCATAATGTTTCCACCTCCATGTTTGACGGTGGGGATGGTGTTCTTGGGGTCATAGGCAGCATTCCTCCTCCAAACACGGCGAGTTGAGTTGATGCCAAAGAGCTCGATTTTGGTCAGTTCTCCTCTGAATCATTCAGATGTTCATTGGCAAACTTCAGACGGGCCTGTATATGTGCTTTCTTGAGCAGGGGGACCTTGCGGGCGCTGCAGGATTTCAATCCTTCACGGCGTAGTGTGTTACCAATTGTTTTCTTGGTGACTATGGTCCCAGCTGCCTTGAGATCATTGACAAGATCCTCCCGTGTAGTTCTGGGCTGATTCCTCACTGTTCTCATGATCATTGCAACTCCACGAGGTGAGATCTTGCATGGAGCCCCAGGCCGAGGGAGATTGACAGTTATTTTGTGTTTCTTCCATTTGTGAATAATCACACCAACTGTTGTCACCTTCTCACCAAGCTGCTTGGCGATGGTCTTGTAGCCCATTCCAGCCTTGTGTAGGTCTACAGTCTTGTCCCTGACGTCCTTGGAGAGCTCTTTGGTCTTGGCCATGGTGGAGAGTTTGGAATCTGATTGATTGATTGCTTCTGTGGACAGGTGTCTTTTATACAGGTAACAAGCTGAGATTAGGAGCACTCCCTTTAAGAGTGTGCTCCTAATCTCAGCTCGTTACCTGTATAAAAGACACCTGGGAGCCAGAAATCTTTCTGATTGAGAGGGGGTCAAATACTTATTTCCCTCATTAAAATGCAAATCAATTTATAACATTTTTGACATGCGTTTTTCTGGATTTTTTTGTTGTTATTTTGTCTCTCACTGTTCAAATAAACCTACCATTAAAATTATAGACTGATAATTTCTTTGTCAGTGGGCAAACGTACAAAATCAGCAGGGGATCAAATACTTTTTTCCCTCACTGTATACTGAGATCATGTGACAGATCATATGACACTTAGATTGCACACAGGTGGACTTTATTTAACTAATTATGTGAATTCTGAAGGTAATTGGTTGCACCACATCTTATTTAGGGGCTTCATAGCAAAGGGGTGAATACATATGCACGCATCACTTTTCCGTTATTTATTTTTTAGAATTTTTTGAAACAAGTTATTTTTTTCATTTCACTTCACCAATTTGGACAATTTTGTGTATGTCCATTACATGAAATCCAAATAAAAATCCATTTAAATTACAGGTTGCAATGCAACAAAATAGGAAAAACACCAAGGGGGATGAATACTTTTGCAAGGCACTGTATTTGTATGTCTGTTACTTTCTCACTCATCATTATTCACGATTAATTCAGGACTATCCGTAATCTATTGGTCTCCCGAGTGGTGCAGTGGTCTAAGGCACTGCATCTGTGCCACTAGAGATCCTGGTTCGAATCCAGGCTCTGTCGTAGCCAGCCGCGACTGGGAGACCCATGGGGCGGCGCACAATTCGTCCAGGGAATGGCCGGCAGGGACGTAGCTCAGTTGGTAGAGCATGGCGTTTGCAACGCCAGGGTTGTGGGTTCGATTCCCACGGGGGGCCAGTATTAAAAAATAATAATGTATGCACTCACTACCTGTAAGTTGCTCTGGATAAGAGCGTCTGCTAAAATGTAAATGTGTTCTTATTTACAATAAAAGTGACTCCAAAATGACACAATACATTATTTACCATTAATTTCTGCTGGGCACAAAATAATCTGAAACACAACCAAAACAAACAGCAAATGCATCCAACCAATTTGTAGAGTCACAAGCTTGATGTAGTCATTGCGTGCTATGAATATGGTACCAAATATTTAACTTTCTACGACTTTAATACACATAAGTGAATTTGTCCCAATACTTTTGGTTCCCTAAAATGGGGGGACTATGTACAAAAAGTACTGTAATTTCTAAACTGTTCACCTGATATGGATGAACATACCCTCATATTAAAGCTGACAGTCTGCACTTGAGCCTCATAGCTATTGTATCATTTCAAATATGTCGCTGTCCCAACACTTTTGGAGGGAGGGAGCGATCGAGACACATACAGATAGAGACAGTCTCACTATACTTATTATACATTTGATTCAGACAGTATAAACCACATGGGGAGACCAACAACTTAGGCCAAGGCCTCTGTGATTTCTAAATCATCATTGATATAAATGTTCATATCAATCTGTGCCAATGCCCTGTAGGTGATCAATGCCATAGAACAGGACTACCGGTTGCCCCCGCCCATGGACTGCCCTAGTGCCCTGCACCAGCTCATGCTGGACTGCTGGCAGAAGGACCGCAACAATCGGCCCAAGTTCAGCCAGATTGTCAACAACCTAGACAAGATGATCCGCAACCCCAACAGTCTGAAGGCCATGACGCCGCTGTCATCAAGGTAAGGCACTCACAGGCTGTATGTCAGTCATCTGAAATGGCATCTACCTTTTCCTCATCTCCTTTCCTCAATGACAACCATTAATCTCAGAGGCCTATCCAGTCCTTTGATTCACTGTTTATTAGTCTTTTCTCTTTGTCTTTTGGGGTTTGGGTTCTCACTGGGTTGTCATTGGGTTTGTTTGGGTTCTCACTGGGTTGTCATTGGGTTTGTTGGGGTTCTCACTGGGTTGTCATTGGGTTTGTTTGGGTACTCACTGGGTTGTCATTGGGTTTGTTTGGGTTCTCACTGGGTTGTCATTGGGTTTGGGTTCTACTGGGTTGTCATTGGGTTTGTTTGGGTTCTCACTGGGTTCCTCTCCTGTTCCTAGTGTTCACCTACCTCTGCTGGACCGCAGCACGCCTGACTTCTCCAGCTTCAGCACCGTGGACGAGTGGCTGGATGCCATCAAGATGGGCCAGTACAAGGAGAACTTTGCCAACGAGGACTTCACCAGCTTCGACGTGGTCTCCCAAATGACCATGGAGTAAGTAAACCTCCCCAGACTGTGCTAAATGTGTCCTGGACTGTACTAAATGTGTCCTGGACTGTACTAAATGTGTCCTAGACTGTGCTAAATGTGTCCTGGACTGTACTAAATGTGTCCTGGACTGTGCTAAATGTGTCCTGGACTGTACTAAATGTGTCCTGGACTGTGCTAAATGTGTCATAGACACAGTGTTGTGTCACTGACTGCTCTCTCTCTCCACAGGGACATCCTCCGAGTAGGGGTGACCCTAGCGGGCCACCAGAAGAAGATCCTGAACAGTGTCCAGTCTATGCGGGCCCAGATGAATCAGATCACCTCCGTTGAGGTCTGACCTCTGATGTCTAGACGGGGAGGCCACTGGACTGGACCCCCAGCCTGGTCTCCCTGTCAGACTTTGACCCCCCACCCCCATCAGACCCCCTTATCTAGACCGCCCTCCCATGTGTTCAGTCAAGTCGGCAGCCCGTACATTATGGTCAGTCTGGTCAGTCCACAACCACTGCCCCCTCCTATGTTCAGTCTGTCTCTAGCTGTGCTGAGTCTATGACTGTGTCCAGACTTTGTCCAGACTTTGTCCAGTCTCCAACTGCAGTCTGTCTGTGTTGATTGCACGGCTGCAGCCCCTCCCTGTTTTTGTAGTAAGACATTGTTTACAGTCTATTGGTTGGATATGATTTCTAATAGTCCCCAGACTAAAACTCATCAACAGACTGCCCTTTAAAAGGGCTATTAAGAGAAGGTTGGGACCAGACTTCATATGACTTTACTCTCATCTTTCACAATGAGATTCTGAGGGTAGCAGTGACATTAACAATATGACCAGTACTCTGAACGGAGTGTATGATGTACTGGATAGTGAATAGGACAAGTGTCAGACTCCCATACAGTTCCATAGACTGTATGGATGTGAAATGAAATCTTAGGGAAGATTCTGTCCCGTGAGAACAAACTTACCGTCCTTGTGCATAATGCTCTCATTTGACAGTTTGAAAATTGTGGTGATTATATTTCTGTTTGCTACCTACCTACACTTCCAATCTCTTGAAAAAAAAGTTTCTAATGTTTTATAAACCTTTGAACACACATGACTTCCAACAGCCCAAATGAACCATAATATAAAATAACTGTACTGTGCATGTCATTGTTTCTTTCTCTTCTGGGAATCACAGGCTGCCATTGCCACTGAATCATGTCGGCCATTTTCACTGTTTTGGATTTCCGCTCCATGCAGTCTTTGTTTCCGTGACTCAGTTGGTATTTGTTTTTTAAATGTTTGTATGTGCACCTTAATGAAGAAGTAGGATGGGCACTTCCATTAATTCTTCCATTACAAAAGTATTGTGTGCAAAGTTTAGATTTCACTTTCCCTTTGTCCTCCTCTATGTTTAAAGGATCTCGTGTGAATATGTATTTTGGTTCTATCATGAAAAAGCACTTGTCCTTCCCTTTATGGTACATACAAAATGGCTGCCATAGATTATGCAGCCAGGTGTACTATACTGTACTTGCACAAAATGGCAGCCTCTGAAGCGCCACACAGGTGTGAAAGGATTCCAATGGGAGCCTGCTGGTATTTAAAATACTTCACTGAACACTGTTGTTATTTGGTTTGTTTTTAAATGGGTTTTATAATGATATTTTGAGATTTGTTTTTATATTGCTACCTATGATCACCTTTGACGGAGCTGTGAATTGTCACGTAATCTGGGGTCATACACAGCGGACATATTGATGTATGTATATACTGTTGCCATTCATTTTTCAAAAGTTAGGACACGTGTTTATGATTTGTCACAGAGAAAAGTGGGGACTTTTTAAAGAAATGGATGAAAAGTAATGTAAAAAAAAACATTTTTTGGTACTGAGAATTAGGGTATATAGTGCCTAGCAAAAGTATTCATCCCCCTTGGTGTTTTTCCTATTTTGTTGCATTGCAACCTGTAATTTAAATGGATTTTTATTTGGATTTCATGTAATGGACATACACAAAATTGTCCAAATTGGTGAAGTGAAATGAAAAAAATAACTTATTTCAAAAAATTATAAAGAATAAATAACGGAAAAGTGGTGCGTGCATATGTATTCACCCCCTTTGCTATGAAGCCCCTAAATAAGATCTGATGCAACCAATTACCTTCAGAAGTCACATAATGAGTTAAATAAAGTCCAACTGTGTGCATTCTAAGTGCCACATGATCTGTCACATGATCTGAGTATATATACACCTGTTCTGAAAGGCCCCAGAGTCTGCAACACCACTAAGCAAGGGGCACCACCAAGCAAGCGGCACCATGAAGACCAAGGAGCTCTCCCAACAGGTCAGGGACAAAGTTGTGGAGAAGTACAGATCAGGGTTGGGTTATAAAAAAATAAAAATAAACTTTGAACATCCCACAGAGCACCATTAAATCCATTATTTAAAAATTAAAGAATATGGCATCACAACAAACCTGCCAAGAGAGGGCCTCCCACCAGAACTCACAGACTAGGCAAGGAGGGCATTAATCAGAGAGGCAACAAAGAGACCAAAGATAACCCTGAAGGAGCTGCAAAGATCCACAGCGGAGATTGGAGTATCTGTCCATAGGACCACTTTAAGCCGTACACTCCACAGAGCTGGGCTTTACGGAAGAGTGGCCAGAAAAAATCCATTGCTTAAAGAAAGAAATAAGCAAACACGTTTGGTGTTCGCCAAAAGCCATGTGGGAGACTCCCCAAACATATGGAAGAAGGTACTCTGGTCAGATGAGACTAAAATTGAGCTTTTTGGCCATCAAGGAAAACGCTATGTCTGGCGCAAACCCAACACCTCTCATCACCCCAAGAACATCATCCCAAATTAAATGCTCTACCAACTGAGCTACGTCCCTGCAAAGTATTGACTTTGGGGGGTGAATAGTTATGCACGCTCAAGTTTTCTGTTTTATTGTCTTATTTCTTGTTTGTTTCACCCAAAAAAATTTTTTGCATCTTCAAAGTGGTAGGCATGTTGTGTAAATCAAATTATACAAACCCCAAAATAATCCATTTTAATTCCAGCTTGTAAGGCAACAAAATAGGAAAAATGCCAAGGGGGTGAATACTTTCGCAAGCCACTGTACCTCTTCTTCATATTGTGCCAGCACAAATCACAACAAGTTTACACATTGATACTCCATCCATAACATACTGTACTTAAGGTTCAGAGATTAGAAAAAATAAATAAAATAAAAAATATATACATTGAAAAGTGTTGTTCCAAGCAACCAAACGACACTAGTCAAACCAGGATGATGCAACCTCTGTTCCTTGAGTGCGATAGTGTTTGCATGCTTCCATTGTCTCCACACTTCATGGATAAATCACGATCAGTCATTCCATAGGTCATCTCACATACTGTAGCATTTAATAGGTATGAATAAGGTACTAATTAGGATACACCTCAATGAGAAACATTTTACCATTTACCACTGGTAATGCAGTTATCAACAGTGTTATTCAAGTGTTATACTGCGACTACCCAACCAACAAATTCTGCTGCCTCTCTGGGGAAAACAAGTCATTTCCAACTTTGATAAATAGGGATACGTTCTTCCAAATACTATCTTCTGCAGTTCTTCCCAGATACATTGTCCTCATCGTATTATTTTCTGTTGTCTATCAATAGCTTCTCAACAAGGTACAGTGTGTGGATTCATATGTGGAAAGCGATGTTAATTGATCATGCAGAATAGCCCCAGACACTGTTATTTTACTTTGTTTTTATAGGCCTGCCATAACAAGTGGGGAGGCAATGTACTATACAAGATCTGAATTTCAAAATGAAGGAAGACAATCATACAAATATGATTTGTAACAACAAAAAATTGTACAATAACAGTTTTGCTGCTGTCAACAAATCCACTCAGAAAGAGCCTGCCATCTCTGAGTGCGTGCCATTTGCAAACAAAAGAAACCAAAATGGACGCTTCTACTGTAACCTCAAGTCAATATAGTTGTGACCTCTCTATATGAGCACAATTACATTTTAGTCATATTAGGTGTTTAAAAATAAATACACTGTACACTGTGCTAACCTCATTCCCTATGCTGGTCCCATGTTAAACATGCACTATTACCGTACCTCTATACCTTTATAGTACCTTTTTCACACTCTTTCATTTTTGTCCTCCGTCCTTATTTGTAATATTGTTATTTGTCTATTATTTTTTTTTTTTTTAAGAACAAAACAAAAGAAAACAACAACTACAACAACAAACTGGAAGCCGGTAGCAACTGTCTTCTATAAATAAAAAAAGGTTACATTCAAAGAACTTGTATTTTCTTAAAGCACCTTTTCCCTTTATCTTGCATTAAATGTATATTTCCTCAACTTACTATGTTCTATATTTGACCATATCTTTTAAAAAAATGTATCCTAACTGTAAAATAACAGCCACAGTTTTGTGCAAAAACGTTGTAAATCTGGCCCTTAGTCTGTAAAGATCACATTGAACAGAAGGGGGAAGTAGAGACCACTCTAGGATTTTGTCCAACAATGTTACTTGTCTGTTTGTTCTGGAAAAGCTATTTTTCTGAGGCAATTTTTTAGTCTTTTATCAGAACACAATATTATTGTAATTACATTTCCAAATACAAGGCTAAGAAGGCTTGATTTCAAGTTGTCCATGAACAGTTTTCTTTCACTCACTAGATCATTATGGGGTCATGTGTGCTTTCTGAGAGAGTACTTTCATTCTTTACTATCGAATGTAAACAAACTGCTAGCAAATCCGGCCATATATACGTACATCTGGCAATGTAGCAGATGTGGGAGCAATCTTTCTCTACTAGATTAGGGATTTCCTCATCTGAGGACACTCAAGTACTACTTTATTTCTGCCACATAATCTAGGTAAGTGTGTCCCATTTCTCAGAAGGCACATTATACTACATCCTCGAAAGCGCAAAGCACGGGTTAGGCTCCTACTGTGCACAAGTTTTTAGTACACCACCAATCCTCAATATGCCCAGTGTCTGTCTGTCTGTCTGTCTGTCTGTCTGTCTGTCTGTCTGCCTGCCAGTCTAACTTTCCACAGTGGCACTCCCCCTAAGGGCCTTAGCTGTCTGTCCTTGACAGGCACCCAAGCCTGGCAAACAGCCAGCGGGCACAGTCACACCTGCCAATGTGCAACTACAGAAGTCACAGCTGCTCCCTATGGTCATGGATGCTTTGGACACTTGAAGAACGACCGTCAGAAAGTGGGATGGCATTCGTGGTGTGTGTCCTGTGTTCCTGCCTGTCTGTCTGCTTTTCCATGGCACCGCCCTCCCTCCCAGCCCTGTAGGTGCAGCTGTCTCTGACCCAGGGTGCCAAACACCATGCTACACTGACATTTATAATTTATTTACATGCTCAGCCTGAACTGAGGGGGGAACACATTAGCCGATTTTCACTTGATAGGGCTCCA